CACAGATAGCTGGCTAACGATTGGTGTACACCAGTTGTTGGTATACACCAAGGCTAAGACAACGCTGGCTAACGTGAAATCATCACTGGACAAACACGCGGCTTCTTATGAAAGAGGCCAAAAAGCACGCATTCATCATCATAATGACTGCGTTCGACTTTTTTTCATACTTTCAAACGAGAAAATACGCCGACGTGAAAATACTTTTATTGAGCTAAAACTGGCATTTTTTTTGAATAAAACAGAGTTCAATATGAAATTCTGTTAGTTAAAACGAACAAAGTGACATCATTCACATTTGCGCACCCAATTCAATATTTGAACATCACCCATTGCTTTGTTGCGAACATTTTCATCGAATGGAATTTAAATTGTATGAAAGAATGATTTTTGGTAAATTTCATTCGGTATCCACACCCGGATATATTGATGATAAAATAATGACTTACCTTTTGTTATAAATTACGTATTCTCTTTGCACACCAATTCTATTCGAATGACCGCATGTTTTGGTCACCAAAATGCTAGCTAAAATGTTTGACAGATTAATATTATGATAGGTTATAGTAACGCTGTGATTTGTTTGCATGTATATTTGAGCAGAGTAAAAAGATGACAGATTTAGCGGTAGATTCAAATTGATTCGAAATCGAGCATACAGCTGATTTGATGGTTTTTCAATTTTAATACTTGCCTTTGGTTTCGATTTTAAATAAAACCTCAGAGGAATGAATTCAAAGACGAAATAAATGTTTTCAAAAAAGTCAGAAAATACATTTGATCATGTTCAAGCTCCCACGAAAGCAACCAGTCCATTTTTCTAAACAAAAAATAAGTTATTTTATCGGTAAAAGTTCTTAACATTTGTCTAATCTCGAAAACAAGTTTCCAATCGTATGTCTGTTCTCATTTTAATTCAATAAATCTATATTTTATTTTCGGCGTGCCAAATCTTTCGGCCAATTTAACTTGAAAATGATTGCCATGCATCCAACGTCAAGAGAATTGCTCCATTGTCTTCCGTTTGTTATTTCACCAAACAAATCTATTTTAATATATCTAAATCCCTAACATTTTCTTTGCCTCTTTGTGGTTGGCTCCTCCTCCAACCGATTTACATCGATAAAAAGCAGATCGTGACGATTTTCTTGTGATATTGTTTTGAAAACGGAAGGAATCGCTCCTTTCTTGAGGACTTTACCCTCATTTCGGTTCATTTCAAAATCTTCCGCCTTAAAATGCCGTTCACAAATTAGGAAAAGTCCGTAAAAGTCACAATATTGATACTTCAAGACAGCTTCAGTCCATTTTGATCTCGTTTTTCCGTACATTGGTAATCTATGGAAAAAATATCCAGAAAAATTTACATATTTTAAAGGTTTTTAAACCAATTTTAAGTAAATTTACGCAATTATTCCAAAATTTGTTGCATAATCATTGAAATTATTCGATTTTTCCTACCTGAAAAACAATATGTTTTTGCCATTCATATTGTTTTGATAACAACGCCCAATATGGCAAGTAAGTTCACTTTCATGGGATTCAGGCTGCACTAAACAATCTGTTTCGTCTGGATACACAAAAATTGATGGAACCGCTGTAATTTGAAGCGTCCTCTTTCCATTTATTTCGATAAAATCATGTGGCGTAAAATGTTCTTCACATATCATGAATTTTTTGGTGTGAAAGTCATAATCTTGGTGTCGACAAATCGCTTGAATCCACGCCGTACTCATTCGTTTATTCGATAATACACTGTAATGAAATTCGTTAAGACTTCAACTTGTATATGTCTTAAGTCGTTAGGACTCTAACTGCTTTGATTAAAGTGAAGCAAAATTGGCTACACCGTGTTAATTGAAAAAAATACCTGAAGAATAACACTGATTTGTCATGTGTTCCAGTTTCATTTGTGCAGTGTTTGATTTTGCAGTATTTTGCTCTCGGCACTCCAAACCTTTTAACCGGTATAATATTTGGCATCACTCTCGGTGCTTCATTTCTGAAAATTGTTGGAATTGCTTCTTTGTACAAGTGCTTTCTTCCTCTTTGCCAAGAATAGTCGAATGAGGTGAAGTGACGTTCGCACACCATGATTGATGGTATTGTTTTGGACATATTTTGATGTTTTGAGATAATTTCAATCCATTTTAATTTCAGTTCTTCATCTTGGGGCATTCTAGAAAACAGCATAAAAGTTAACAACCAAATACTTGAAGACGAAAAGCATTATTAAATCAATTTACCTGAAAAACGAAATATCGTCGTCCAATGTGCCCATTTCATATTTACAACATTTAATGTAACAATATCGTTTTCTATTCATTTTTTATGAGTTTAATGTACTATCTAATTTGACGGTGTGTTGTTTTCAATATCTGTTTACTTTAATTTTTTGTCTCTAGAGAGATTTATATGAAATTATTGCTGGTTGACAAGTCAGTGATCACACAAATACAAAAGCAGCACACATATAATCCGTCAATAATTCATCCGTCTTAATAACAACGTTCGACTTTCCTTCATATTTTCTAGCTCTCTCATTGGCGATGCTTTTATTGAGCTATGGCTATCATTCGTTTTGAATAAAATAAAAATTTAATATGAAAATGGTTTTGAAAAATAAAGTGTGAAAATACTAAATTCAACAATGAAACATCAACAATTGCTTGTTAATGAACATTCTCATCGAATGATGTTCAATTTTTTTGAATAATTCGATAGTTTTTATATGTTACACTCATGAAATTGACAACCATTGATGTATTGAATAAATAAGCGCTACCTTATTCTATAAAATAAATATATTATTTGTGCATCAATCGTGTTTTGATTACTAAAATTGTTTGACAGCTTTATTATTATGACAGACTATAGGTGAGTTACGACTTCTTTTGTATTTGTATTTGTGTAGAATAGTCAGAAATGACATTTTGTGCCAGATTCAAAATATATTTTCTTTTTTTAGAAAATTTGATCGAAAAATAACTTCGAAAATTTAAAGATTTGATACGAAAGTCATTTATTGATGAGAATTAATGATTAAATATTTTATTTAAAATTAAATAAATCAAAAGATAATTTTTTTCGAATTGAAGTAAATATTGTCAATAGGGTTAATATTAGCATTTGAAATAGATTTTTTCTGACATTTGTCTATTGAATAATAATCAATTTTTATTTCCAAGAAATGTTCAATATAAGAAAGTACACTTGAAAAACGATTAGAAAGGCTCGACGAACAAAGTGGTAATTAGTCCAGTGGCTGTGTTGTCAAAATTCAAATTTGGATCTGGATGGAATTGAATGGTAATGTCCGGTTCAATGCGAAGCTCTGACTTTAGTGTTGAAAATGTGTAAATTGAAGGTGGTATCCCTGGTTGTTTAAATCGAATCTCATACTTGACGAACGGTCTTATGATAATTGGCGACGCCAAATTAACTCGATTCTCACCATGAGTAATTAGCTTAATTTCACCACTGAACAATATAGTGTCATTCATATTTTGAGATTCACCAATAGTTATTTTTGAAGATGGAAAATCTGCTTCTAATATATAATATGCCCATTTTTCTTTAACAAAATTATACACATTAGCGCATAAAAATCCATTCAGCAACAATAATTTATTCGATGAAAATGTGGTAGTTTCGACATCGTTAACGAGAAAACTATCCGATATAATTCGGTTGACTTCCATTGGCTGATTACTTTCGTTCTTTTCTCGGCAAAAGTTTCTTCGCACAAAAATAGTTGGTTGATATGCTTCCGACCCGATTATTCCAATGATATCCTTCATTTCTTCGAACAAAAACAAGTCCTTGTATAGCGGAATAGCTTTGAAAAATTCGGCTGGATCGAGAGCACCAAATGGTAGCTTAAAAAATAAATCACCCAGTTGATCGCGTACATCTTTTGGGTTATCCGCACTTAAATCATTTGCTTGAGTCGAATGTTGTGCCCACTTCAAAGTTGCCACCAATACGTCTGCGGGAGAGCAGTTCAATGAGTCCATATTCAAAATATGTTGTACAGGGGGAGGGGAAAGTTTCCGACCTGACACATAAAGACACATAGTATTTTTAAATGAATGCATTTATTATTCAAAGTGGTCTCCCTTAACACGAATTACACTTTCATAACGATGCTTCAATGCTTTAATTCCTCCTTCAAACCATGCGGCATCTTTGTCCTCCCATACGTTGAAAATATCGTTCGATATCTCTTCTTCGGACTCATATTGCTTCCCCTTCAGATATCTTTTGGTGTTTGGGAACAGGAAATAGTCGCTGGGGGCCAGGTCTGGTGAATACGGTGGATGGTGAAGTTGTTCAAACCCACACTCCTTGATGGCAGCTCTTGCAAGCAATGATTTGTGAGATGGTGCGTTGTCATGCAGAAGAAGAACTTTTCGAGTGAGCAAACCAGGGCGTTTTTCTCTAATGGCTTTGCGCAATCTATGCATCTGTTGAGCATAATAATAGCCCGTGACTGTGGTGTTCTTTGGAAGGAATTCAACCAATAGTATGCCTTTGGAATCCCAGAATACAGATGCCATTACTTTGCTTGTAGCAATTTGTTTGCGTGGCACTTTTGATGCTGGTTCACCACGTTTATGCCACTCCATCGTTTGTGATTTGAGCAATGGATCATAGTAGTGAATCCAGGTTTCATCACCAGTCACGATTCGATCAAATGTATCCTCTTCATTCCATTCCAACAACTCGAGAAACTCATGTGCGGCAGCAATTCGTTCTTCTTTCTGAGCTCTGTTCAAAGTTCTTGGAATCCATCGTGAGCAGACCTTTTTCATATGCAATTTTTCATGAAGTATGGTGAAAATACTTCTCTCTGAGATGTCAAACATTGCCGCCAACACTTTCTTGCTCATCCGAGGATTTTCATGCACGAGGTGGTCAATTTTTTCCACCACATCTGGAGCAATTGCTTCAATTGGTCGACCAGAACGAGAATCATCCTCCAACGATTCTCTGCCCCACTTGAATTGCTTTGACCAGTCTTTGACCGTGGTATACGACGGAGCAAGGTCACCATAAACAGCCCGCAAGCGATCATTGATATCTTTTGGTGCTACACCTTCTTTTGTGAGAAACTTTATAACCGCACGATATTCGATTTTATCCATTTTTTTAAAAATCTCGAGGTTACTTGGTACACAATGCTAGAGAAAACAATCGATGACAGATATCAACTCAATTTTTTTTCTAAAATACTAGTGACAGTTGGTACGTCAAATACATCACAAGAACAATTTGTAACTAGCGCTCTCTATATGTCAGGTCGGAAACTTTCCCCTCCCCCTGTAGTACATCTTTGTTGCAACACAGGAAACCATCCGATTTAAGTATCGTTGATGTCTCGAATTTGATGAATGCATCGCAAGTTTTCACCAATTGAGGCTGCTTGAAGAGAAATGCCAGTTCATAGCACAAGCACACAGCATCTACTGATAAAATGTCACCCAAAAATGTTGAACATGTTTGCAAACAATCGTTGATTTGGTATTTTTCGCAAAGATACATGATACGGCTGATGTCTTTCAATGACAATGACACATCGATCAAGTAGAAAAATTGTAAAAACTTTTTGAATGCTTCGGCTGGTGCATCATCAATTTTGACTTCGTCCCCTTCTTTCAGCAAACCATAAAACATTGTGTGAAATATCGGGCTCATTGCTCCCAAAATGCTCTTGTGTGCAGGAACTTTTATCGGTTGTTCAGTGTCAGCGCCAAACACAAAATGAACATCAGCTGAAGTCGAATCCAAATATAATCGATTGAGGGCCTTCGCCGCAAAATTGTTGTTCATTGTCTTTGTAATTGGGGAGGATGTTGTCAGAGTGTGAACACTTGAATTCATTTTAGCTCGACTAGTAGATCTGGCACGATTTCTGTTGTTTTGTGTGAAACTTTATATACGTTTCCAATTTTTATATAAAAATAATTTTTCTTCGCAAAAAATTATATAAAATATTGGATTCAATGATTTCGATATTTTAAAATCAAACACTTGAAATTATTTTGTATTATGATCTTTTTTTAACAAAAAAATAAATAAATTAAAGAAGTCATAGAATGAACTGTTTGTATCGGATATTGAATCTGAACTAACTTAAAACGATGAGGACTCAAACTAGTTTGACAAAGAACCATGTCAATTTTCCATATAACGAATGAGCCAGCAGTTTTTGACTGTCATTTTGTCTAACCCTACATTTGTCATAACTGAGCAGAGTGCGTTTATCTCTCAAACGGCACATTTGCATCGAATGCATGATCGTTAATAAGAATTAAATAAATTTAAATGGAAATATTAAAAACGATGATAATACAAAAAAAGTATTGATTATTCAAAATAATTGGAACAATAAAAATAAAATAAAATAATTTTTATATTTATATCATTTGATTTTTCGGGTGAATCCTTCTATCGTGAATTAAACGTACGTTGTTTTGTTATGATAGCCGCAGGGTTTGACAAATTTGCAAGCAATGACGACTTGCTCACTTTTTGGCATTGTTTTTTCTTCGCTTAATTGCCCTTCTCCAAAAACCCATAGAAAAAGTCGTAAAGGACAAAAAAGCAATCCATTTGCATATGCATTACATTGTAATTGTATTGTTGGGAATTTTTTTGGTCATAAAACAATTTTTGTTTTGGAAATGAATTTCATTTGAAAAATTCCCATAAATTGTGTACTGTGAAATATGTTGTGACTAATTCATGGCATTACAGATGATTTGTAAACAAATCTAAAGCTAAAAATAAAAACTAAATCCTCATCTTTATGTGACGAATTTCAATTTAAATTTTCTCAATAGGGTCATAGAATGCAAAGCATCGCACACATTCCCCTGAAATGTGACACTTCATTTGAAATGTCTCCACACACGCACACCATACCGAAACGAAATATGTTTTTATTTTGACATTTCTCTGCTTACAAAGATAATAAAACAAACCGTACTGGAACAACGTCTGTTAAACTCCTTTCCAAAAATGTGTGTAACAATTGATCAAGCTTGTGGATTTTTGTTCATAAATGAGTTCGGTGCATTTGTTTACTGCTGCAAAATGTGTCGAATTGAATATGATTCGGGTCCAAATTTAGAGGTGCACATTTTGTCGGCGCACCAGGACGTAAAGAGTCACATCGAAACTGTCTTTGTAAACGATGGCATATTTTTGACCGATTCCATTTCGGCGGAGCAATCAACAACAAGCAAGTCACCAATTGAACCGGTCGTAGTTTTGAAACACGAACCGATCAGCGGTAAAGGAACATCAATGGATAACGACGGTGATTCGATGATGAATGACTATGACTACGATAATGATGAATACGACCTGCAAACGGTGCAATCGAATGAAAACGTTCTTTGTGTAAAGTTGGTGAAAAAGGGAGAAAAAAGTTATGAACCGGACATGGATAGCGACGAAGACTATTGGCCAGAAGATAAACAACAAAATATTACAATGAACCAGAAAAGTCAGAACCAGAAGCCAACAATTCAATCACAGCCAACGTTACCGGTGGGAAAGGAAAAGTGTCGCCTTTGCGATATCTGTGGCAAAAATTTTACGAAGAAAAGTTATGACACACATAAACGAACGCACGGTGAAAAAGAATTGAAGTGCCGATACTGTCCGAAAGCCTTTAAATTATATGAAAATCGACGAAAGCATGAGAGATCAATACACGAGAAGAAGTGGCTGAAACCAAAAACAACCTAATTGCATCGGACCGGTCACCGGTCTCATTGACATTGAGTTAAGAAGACAAATTTGAAGAAATATTTAGAATAAAGACATTTTCTTGTTATTTTATTTCGTTATTTTTAATTGAATGACATATGTATTAAGGTAATATTTACTTCGCTATTAAGTTGAAAACCCTTCAAATCAAATGAAATTTTTATCAAATAAGAAAATAAATGGAATGAAATACTTAAAAATCAATAAAAAAAATGTTGTGCCAATCGGATGCTTGATATCGTTTCAGTTCAATCCATTTGTAATTGGTATTTCCAAATGTCCATTTAGTGCTCAAAAACGTCTCTTCATGAACGTAAATCGTGATTTTGCATGCTCCTCTTAATGTTGCCCGTTCTCTATTTAACGCTGGTAAATCGATGCATTTGAATCCATTCGGAATTTTCAAATGTTTCAATTTCGGAAAATTACGAACAAAATATTCGCTTTTATACATTGTATTCGGCGGAATATTCATCAAAATTTGTTCAAAATTGGTGAAAAAATTTGAGGGAAAATTCGAGGAAAAATGTATACGTTTAACAACATCCTTAATACTTTCTAAATAATTTTCGCCGTAACAATACGAAAAAAATTCCTCCAGATGCGGTAATGGCGGTAAGTTCGTGTTTAATAGCTTTAAAGAAAGTTTTGTTATGCCAAGAGTTGTGAGTGTGTTTGCATCAACGTGTTCCAAAGTGTTACAAAATAAATGTAATTGCCGATAAAATCCTCTGTCATGAAGCTCTTTTAGATTTCGAAAGAGTTTGACGCATATTCTTTCCTCTCGATTGGTTAAATGCAACACCAGTCGATTGAATTTAATGTCAGCGTCGAATAAATGTCTTCCGAAAGTTTTTATAAATTTATCATTCGCCTCGAATGTTTGGATATTTTGATTCAATTGAAATAATGTCACCAACTGTGTTAATGAGTGAATTGGATTTTCCTCCAATTTAACGCACTCAAGTTCCGGGTATTTCTGATTGCACCAATCAATTTGGGGAGCATTATTCGACGAATCAAACAATGGACGAACGTTGAATTCACCTCTTCGACCATTTATGGAAATATTTGGAACTTTAAGAAGAGATTCATTGATTTTTTTATACTGTAAGCCATAGGTAGTAATATTAGATAGTGATATCACTTTTACTATGCTCGGAAAATTTGCGTCGATTGATTGAAATATCTTAAAAGTACCGTATATTAGGCGATTGCTTAATAACGATGGATAATTTGTTTGGATGTAGTAATCGACTGTTTGTTTCAGCCGTTTACACGTTCGACGAAGTGACAATAGGTCAGCCACAGACAACCAGTCGAAGAGCTCTTCTGAACAATCCATATTTAACGTGACGAAAGCGGATGGTGATTCGTGGCTGCTCGATGGAGCCGAGACAAGTTGGCCCTCTTTCATCTTTAATGGCACCTTCTTTAATTTGGTTCAAATCTCGCTGAGTCACTACCTTTCTCACCAAACGTACACCAATTAACTGTCATTGAATCTGAAAAAAAAGCAAAACGTTGAAAAAAAATCGATTGATAGAAAAAAAAATGTTCAAAAGGAGAAATTGAAAAAATATTCTACTTTGACAGGAGGAACTCGATATTTTTTCGCTGTGATCTGTGTGTTTGTTGTAGTGTTTTCAAATATTGATGATTTCTGCTCTTCCGTTTTCGTCAATTGGTTGTACTGCTAACACTTAAATCAGTTCCATCGTTTCTTTTAACCTCTTTCTGTTAATATTTTCCAAATTTTCCAATTTTTTGAAGGAAAAATAAACCAAATGATAAAATTATAACATAAGAATTCATGTTATAATGTGAAAAATAGAATTTTGAGCTAAAGAAATTATTTTTAACGATGTTTAAAAAAAGAAATACATACCTTTTGTTGTTCAGCGTATATTTCAGAACTTTACCAAATTGATTTTTGATGAAGTGAGTGATTGAATTGACAGTTTTGACAGTTTAAGTATTAAGACCGGTTTAGGCTAGGTGATATATTTGCTTTGACATTTGTATTGATGGAAAAGAATGTGAGGTAGATTTAAAATGATTTTTTTTATTTTCATTACTTTGAATGAAATTCCATCAGTTACTCAATAGCCTCATTTGGCGTAGATCAATAGTATCAAAAATAAAATGTTTTACACTCGTAAGATGGACTTTTCCGCACTGTAATCTACGACAAGCATTTATTAGTGATAAATCATTACACATCTTTTGCTGTGAATTCAAGAAAAAACTGAATCTGACGTGAATTGCGGATATTGTTTTGAAATTTGAATAAATTTGTTCTGACGATTTATAATTTGTTGCTTCAAAATTCGATTTGTTGTAATGAATAAGGAAACTTAAGTCCCAAATTTCGATAAAAAATAAACATTAAAAAAATCAGTGTTTGACTGGATTGTTTGTCCAATTACCAATTTTGCAGCTACGTGAAGTGAAGTTAATCCTAGGGGGAATTATCTATACGTTTATACGGTTTATACTCAAGTATTTTTTACCGAATATACTATAAATAGATGAAGACATCGCAAGTATGCCGCATATACACTGCATATATGCGTATAAACCATATATATACGGAGTTATTTGCAAATATTCTTCGGTATATACGGTTTATATTCTTATACGCAGCATATTCGTTACTTATTTTATTCGATATTTTCCCCTAGAGTTAATCCATTTTCATAATTTGCATTAACACTAGCCCCGTGATTGATGAGAAGTTTGACCAAATCCTTATCTGGGATGCAGAAAATCAAATATTAAAAAGAATTCATAGCTCGAGACGATGGTTTGCAATATTAGCAAATGATGCAGCTTCATGTAGTGGCGTTCGTTTATATTTATCTTCGGCATTAAAACTTGCCCCATTTTCCAACTGCTTTTTGATCAAATCTATTTTACCTAGAAATTAAATAAAACACATGTCAAAATTCATGAAAATTATTTCAACAATTGCAACTTTTTGGTGCAGATATTTTAAAATATTGTTCATTTTACTTTTCCGCACACACCTAGGGGAAAGTATTGCAAAAGATAAAATTTTATGACACCTCAAAAACATGTTTTCTGGACGTTTCTGAGGTCAGAGAACCCGAATCAGGCCGTTTTGTAGGTCACTTCTACGTCGTACGTCGTACGCTGTCCGCCGTACGCAAAATTTGTCCATCGATTATCTCACCTCCAGAAAAGTTATTTAAAATCTGACTTCACGGGATGATTAGGGGTCGAGAGGAATAGAAATCATTAGATTTTGAGCGATTTTGGTTGATGGAAAAAAATGTCATGCCTGGAGTCCAATTTTCGACTAAAAGTCATACTTAGTGTAGACTTAAACACTCAAAAATATGTATTGAGGGGTTTTTTGGCACGAGAAAACCGAATCCGACGTTAGTTTTGAGATACAATCAATTTTTAATACAGTTTCCTTGAAAAAATCACAAAAAATTTGGATTTTTGTATGGGAGCCATGCCTGTATGCTACCTTAATGACGTGAAACTTTGCACAGACTATTTTTTACACAAAAGTATAACATTCTGAAAATTTGAAGAGATTTCAATTAAAATTAGGGGTACCTCCCATACAAAATTTTCAATTGGCTCAAAAACGAATATTTTGTATGGGAGGTACTCTTGATTTTGGTTGAAATTTCTCCAAACCCTCCGAATGTTATTTTTTAGCGAAAAAAATAACCTGTGCAAAGTTTCACGCCATTTAGATAGCATACATACATGACTCCCATACAAAAATCCAAATTTTTTGTGACTTTAGTTATGAAAAGTGTTTCAAAAATAATTTTTATGGCAAAATTAACGTCAGACATATTTTTTATAGTGTTTTGTTAGAAAATAGAATACTTTCAAATGTCGTACAAATGGGTTCATCATGAAAGTGTGAAAAATCTTTTCTTGGCTACCTCTGCTGTTAAATTAAAGAATATTTCGATGCCAAAGTTGAAACATATTTTTTGGTCTCGAACTTTACGCCGCTGAATCCCGAGTATACCGGCGACGCTCTTTAAAGAGCGTGTGCGCTCTTACTGACGCTCTTCTGAATTACGTAGGCGACTATTTAAGTTTCTTCAATATGTATGTTTTAGTATTGCCCGATGCAAACCATTGTCATATTCGTGAAGTTGGACATTTTTCATGACCATTTGACTTAACAGGACGAATTTTAGTTTTGTGGTATGGCTACGACAGCAGCTTAAACATGACACTCCAAAAAGTGCACTTTTTTGAATATGCACCTAATTTCAAGTACGAAAAATATATTGTATCCAACTGATTTTGGTCTCTGGTGGACAGAGGGGTCCCGAATAATTCGTACACGGAGTATTGTGCATCAATTCGATCTTTTGGGTGGTCAAATAGTCGACTGTTTGATGGGCTTCTTTTTGCCATGTTTTGGGATTATAAGTTTCAGAGTTTTGGTCTCCATATTCCCGTGATGACTTTTGACAATCAAATGGTTGTGTACTATTCAGCATTGAAGGACCTTTCATCCTCTAAAGGCATGGTAGCAACATGACACATAACACTGTAAAATAATGAGGTCCGATTTTCCCTATCACTTCACAAACGAACAACTTTTGTTCGATTGTGTTCATGTTTGAAGACTCAGAGAGTCAACCAAGTTTTTGTTTCAGGTCCAAACTACTGGAATCATGTCTTGGCTTCTATTGCGATCGTATAGACGTGTTTTTATTATCCTATGTCAAATTGGTTATGATTTTTTGGATGTGATTAAAATCAATCGATTTTTGAGCAACTGTGGGTTGACACATAAAGATTTATTTTTTTCATGTTGTAATTCATGGAAGAACCAAATGATTGGAGTCTCTGTGATCCTTGGGCATACCACAATTTAACTGTAAAAGAAACTTCGATCCTAACTCAATCGGCACCAGAGTTTTTCTCGATGACATCAATTTTCGAAGGACCATCGCGCAATTGATCACTGTAGCGAGCACCATGACGATGGGACCAGTTGTATACAGTGGCAAGGCATGGTACTTCCTTCCCATACCCCGACTTGAGTCGGAAGTAATACTGTTGAGCAGGCAGCTCTTTTTGAAAACTTATGAGAAATAATCTTTTTTGTAAATTTCATTTTTTTGCGAAGTTGACCTTTTCCAACTGACACCGTGGCCATACCACAAAACTAAAATTCGTCCTGTTAAGTCAAATGGTCATGAAAAATGTCAAACTTTACGAATATGACAATGGTTTGCATCGGGCAATACTAAAACATACATATTGAAGAAACTTAAATAGTCGCCCTCGTACTTTTTATTCATATTCTTTACATTATAAGCAGCGATGAAGAAGAGCTATATCATACACAGCAACAAACACAGTGCGAGTGACTAACAACAAATCTAGTAACCATTGCATTAGTTCTTGTATATATTTCGTATGTACTGTGTTCGTTGCTGTGTATGATACAGCTCTTCTTCGTTGCTGCTTATATTGTAAAGAAGATGAATAAAAAGAAATTCAGAAGAGCATCGCCGGTATACTCGGGATGGCTTGAAAAATCGAACAAATGATATTTTGAACTTTCTTAATAAAATACGCAACTACCACCGTGCGGAAAAGTTCGTCTTACTCCCGTAAGACTCTTTATTTGATGTGTAGTTAGAATGTGATAAGATAATAGACTTCTCATTTTTAGGTATTTCAATTAAACTGAAAACAATTTGTACAATCGACTTGAATCTTTATTATATCTGTGATATCTGAACATATTTATCTGGAGGATTTAAAAGGGAATGCAAGACCGAACGAGCGCCCAGAAACGTAATTCATTTTTTTTGGATGA